GCCCCCACTTTTTAATATAAACATGATATCCTTTCCCTGCATCCTGTTTTTTTTAAGTGGCCATACAGGTTATAGCAATCCTATGAATATGGCTTGGAACCTTCCCCGTCTGTCCTGTGCCATCTTCATCATCTCCGGCATACTGAGCCTACTGATTGCTACAGTCAGGTCAATTCGTCTTGTTAAGAGTCTTCCTCTCTTTCAGTGACCTATCACCTTTCCAAGCATGATATTCTTTTCTAAGGACTAACAAATATGCCCAAAATATATGAGATGAAATTTCATCAGATTTGCTTGTAAGGAGTACCCTGCTTGCACTTTCTCCATGAAATACTTGTTTGTCCTCTTGGCAGGCCATGGGATTCAATATTCTTCTCCAATGTCACAACTCAAAAGCATCAGTTCATCTGTCATCCTTAGTCACTGTCCGACTTTCAAATGCATAGCAAGTAACTGAAAATGCCATGGCTTAGATCTGGCACAAATTAGTCTTTAAATTGACATGATTGTTCCATAACACCTTGCAGAGGTCCTTAACAGCAGATTTTCCCAATGCAAAATGTTTTTTGATTTCTTGACTGTTAGCACCAAGAGTGTTGTTGATTGTGGATCCAAGCAAGATGAAATACCCACCAACAAGCCTTTAGAAGAAATCTTTCTCCTTTGGTGAGTCACTGGGCTAGCACTGCCTTGTCCTTCCTTACTACCTGGCCAATGGCGAGCATCATGATAGACGGAGAAAGGCTTGACGTTTTCAATGATTTCCTCTTGCTCAGATCCACAATCAACACCCTTGGCACTGTTATTGTTATGTGCTATCAAGTCCACTACAACTGACAGCAACCCTATGAAAAATAGCTCTGAATCTTACACTATCTTAAGCCAATCTCACTGACTCTCACACATCTACCCCCATTGACACAGTCACTGTGTCAACCAATGTCTTCCAGGATCTTCCTCTCCTAAGCTGACCTTTTACTGTTTCAAGCATGATGTCCTTCTTCAAGGACTGGTCCCTCTTGTCCATATACCCAAAGATATGTGAGACCTAGCTATACAGTCTTTGCCTCCAAGGAGCAACCTAGTTTCAACCTGTCCAGAACAGATCTATTTGTTCTCTTGACAGTCCATGGTATGTTCAAGACTCTTCTCCAGCACCACAACTCAAAGGCATCGATTCTTCTTCTGTCATCCTTAGTCATTGTTCAGCTCTCTAACACATAACAAGTAATTGCAGAGAACATGGCTTGGATCAGGTGCACCTTATTCTCTAGACTGACATCATTGTTCCTTGTCACCCTGGAGAGGTCCCTGACAGCAGACTTTTCCAAAGCCACTTGTCTTTCTTTTGATATCCTTACTGTTGGTGCCAAAAGTTGATTGTGGACCCGACCAAGATGACATTTTTAACAACCTCAATCTCTTCTCAGTCTATCATGATGGTGCAAATTGGCCCAGTGGTAAGAATCTTTGTTTTCTTGGTGTTGAGATGCAACCCATATTGCCCTTGGCCCTTCTGGGGTCTTCTCAATTGCTATGCATCTGAAAGCTGGATAATGAATAAGGATGACAATAAGAATCGGTACCTTTGAGTTGTCCTGGAGAAAAGTATTGAACATACCCTGGAGAAAGTGAAACTAGAGAGCGCCTTGGAAACAAAGAGGGTGAAACTCTGCCTCATGTACTTTGCTGTCAGGAGCGACCAGTCCTTAGAGAAGGATGTCATGCTTGGAAAGGTTGAAGGCCGGAACAAGAGAGGAAGGCTTTTGATGAGAGGGGGGTGACATAGTTGACGTATATCAGAGATGATGAGGTTGGTACAGGATAGGGCAGGGTTCAGATATATTGTTTATAGGGTTGCTGTGAGTCCTAGTTGGCTTGACAGCATATAACAATAACAGCAAAGTGATGAAGAAGAGGAAAAAGCATGATCTTTGCTTAAGTGTGAGGAGAAGAAACTAATATCTAATGAAAATAGTGAAAAAACCACAAGATGCCCAGTTCAGATCACCTGCTGGGTCAAGAACAAAGAAGTAGGAAGATTTCAAAGTACTCAGAGATGCCATTTCACTGAGGATTTTGTGTTTCCAAAAATATTTTCACTCACCCTGCTAAACCTCAAGCTATTTCTCGAAAGAAAGGAAAACTACTTCCTTAAGAAAGAGTAGAAATTATAGAGGTGCACAGAACCTGAAAAGGAAAAAAAAAACAAAACCAAAATAACAAAAACAAAAGCCCAGTCCAGGCCCATCACACAGATCTGAATGAGGGGAGATTTTTTTAATCAAGTCCTAGATTCCATCTTATTCTCCATCCTGGCTAAGCAGAAAAAGCAAATAGAATGACTTGACAAACTCTTTTTTGCTCTCTCAAAATCAGTATGAGAAAGAAAAATAAAGGCCTTCTAACATTTCCTTTACATTGAGCAGTTAATAATCACTTAAAGGAAGCCAAAAGCATTGACACCAAATAGAGAGTGGATCTGCCTCATGGAGTTTCCAAGGCTGGAAAGTTTCCTAGTTTTCAGGGTTTCAGGGTCCTTTTGTAAATCACGAGTTTGCCATGTTTGGTCTCCATTTAGCTTCTCTATCATGTTTGTTGCTGTGCACTATACCAGATTAAATGGAGAAACAAAGCCAGAAGATAATTCCCAAACCCTCAGCTGATTTTAAACTACTGTTGGCTGCCAGTCCATTCAATAAAGAGCATCTTTAATTGTAAGCCTGCTCAGAGACATTTTGGGCAGGGGAAAAGGAAAGACTCACTCATTGCCTCTGAATGGGACCACATCTTAACTGACTTTCCAGTGGGATTGGAGGCTATAAAGCACAAGGAAGGAGAATGCCCATTTTCCTCTCTCTGAGTGGCAGGTGGATTCCAAGCAATGCTACCTCTCAGGTAGCAATTCAACTCCCTGCTGTGTCATTAAGTCATATGTTCTTGCTTACCCTTAATTCCTGAATCTGTTTGGTAGTGGTATTTAGAGTGATTTTTTTTTTTCTTTTTCTTCCTTAGTGCAGTTGACCCAGTGACTGTGGCAATGGGGGGGAAGTGTGCCAGAGACAGTGAGATTGGCTCAAGATAGGGCAAGGTTCAGAGCTATTGTTTGTGAGGTCACTATGTGTCCCAGTTGACTCAATAGCACATACATAATAACATCATAACACAGAAGCAGGAAGCAGAAAAAAGCATATCCTGAGTAAACTCTTGTCTCCAGAATTTCTGTCTCCAATTGTGCTGTCTCTGAAAGCTTCTGAAACCAGTGAATCTGGAGGAATTAGATTCTAGTTTTTACTGCCAACTTCCTAGGCAGCCCCATTCACTTTCTCCCTGGATGAAACATGTGTTGCGTTTGTGTGACTCATAGCTGATTCTCCACTGAGTTCCCCAGGCTCTAAAGCACACAGGAGGAGATTGCCCATCTTTCTTCTCCTGGAGCAGCAGGAGACAACGGATATGGACTGCCTTTTGGCCTTTGGGCATTGCAACTCCCTACCACAACTCCTTCATGAGTTGTTTCAAGTCTTATGACTAGAGTTGGAGCTCAGTAAACTGGAATTCAACTCTTCCAATCCCCAGATGAATGAGACTTCAGAATGCTTATTATGCTGACTGAAGTCTGGACTGGGTTTCTCATACCAGTTCCTTGGAAAAATTTCCTAACCTGAACATTGAGATGTGGGGATGCTCCTCATTTTTGTGCTCTGGTGACCAATGAAGAGTCTCAGAGACTCTAGGACATCTCAACCCGATCCTGAGCAGCGTCAATCCCCGAAGATTTCAGACTCAGCCTACTTTTGGACTGACCCAAGGCAGAGATGACCCAAACTGGGCATTGTAGTGCACACTCACGAGCCTGGCTGGACCAAGGGAGTGTTGTTTTTGTTGTTGCTGTTGTTATGTGCCGTTGAGTCGCTTGCGACTCATAGCGACCCTATGTACAACAGCCCTAAACCCTGCTCTATCCTGTGCCAATCTCACTGCCTCTGACACGCCCATCCCGGTTACCCCAGTCACTGAATCAATCCACCTCATAGAGGGTCTTCCCCTTCTGCGCCGTCCCTCCACCCTCCCAAGCACGATGTCCCTCTCCAAGGACCTGTCCCTCCTTACAACATGTCCAAAGTATGTCAGACGAAGCCTCAGAATCCTTGCCTCCAAGGAGTAGGGAGTAGGGTGGAGAAAAGAGCACAAGATCAAATCAACCAGCTGCCCAAAGTAACAGCAATTGACAGTCCTACACTCTCCAGCTTCATGATCCTCTCTTACTAAGCTACAAATTGTGATAATTTTTGCCTTGTACTTAAATGATTTTCTTTTCATTTTACAGAAAACTAATAATGAATCATCATCAACTCTTTGAATCACAGGACTAGCGTCAAGTTGCATGCAAGTTCTGTCCATGTCCACACAAGAACAGAATATTTGGTGTGTGACAAGTCTGAAATCTCAATCAACCCAGAAATTCCCCGGAGCAGGCAGGGCAGGGAGGGCCTCCTGAGAGAAGTAGAGACACAAAGCTGGGCAGAGTCAGGTGCCGCCCTGGGTGAGGTCTGCGGAAGATAAAGAAATCAGATCACAAGGATCTGGCGCTGAACACATCTCAGCGCCTCACTGAGACAGGTCCACTGCTGAAATAATAAGAGATACAGAAACACAATTCCACGGCCTTTAGGCTCACCGCGAGGGCAGCGGGCAGGGCAGGGCCGGCCTGGTGCTACTCAAGGTAAACCACCGACCTAGGAAATTTACTCTAGGACGGGAGATAAACCTTGCGGAGGCGAACTCAGAACTGGAAAATCCAGGTGCACCCATGCGGGATGGCCGAGGGCAGAGCGGTGAGCAGCGCGGGCCCCGCCCCTCCCGGCAGACCACGCCCTTTTGCACAGACCCCGCCCACGTGGGCTGGGTCACGCCCTCCGGAGCGCGCCCCGCCCACGCCTGCGTCCCCGCCCGCGACGGAGCCGGGAAGCTGCAGGGGCCGAGCCGCAGTTGCCGCTGCCGCCGCCGCCGCGCGAACTGCCCGCTCCCCCTCAGCTGCCGCTGAGCCGCGCCCGAATCCGGCCGACGAGGCTGCACACGCAGCCAGGAGCCCGCGAGCCCGCCGCCCTCCGAGGGCGCCCCCGACCTCGCCATGGTGAAGGTGACGTTCAACTCGGCCCTGGCCCAGAAGGAGGCCAAGAAGGATGAGGCCAAGAGCGGCGAGGAGGCGCTCATCATGCCCCCCGACGCCGTGGCGGTGGACTGCAAGGTCGGAGTCCGGGCGAGCGCGGGCTGGCTGGGCGCGGGGCCGGGGCGCTGGGCTGCGGGGCTCCCCGGCCGCCTGCTCACCTCCGGCTGCAACCGCGCTGTGCGGAAGGGCGTGTGCAGGGGGCCTGGGGTCGCGCCGGGGTGCCGCCGGGGGAGACCAGCCCCCGCCGGGTTGAGCACTTCTTCCCCAGTGTAAATAATGCGCCTAAAATGGCTGACAGCGCTGCAGCCCAGGCTGCTTTCGCTTCTGGGCCGAGCCGAGCTTGGACCCGGTCCAGCGCCGTGACCCTCCTCATTTGAAAGGCCATTTGCTCCTTGGTGTCTTGCCTGGCCGAGGTTGCTGGCAGGTGACCCGGGCTGCGAGGCCGGGGTGGGGGTGGGGGCGACGCAGGGGAGAGGCAGGGCTGCCCGTTCTTGGCCCGGATCTGTTCATTTCCCCGGTGCCTGCAAGTCCAACAGTTGGCTTTCCACTTCGGACCCCGCCAGGACTTCCCGAGAAACTTGTCCCTCGTTCCTTCCAAAACGATCCCCCCCTCCCCTGGGGCTGAAAGAAGGGAGAGCCGCGGTCCTGGCTGTTTTGTTTGACCTGCGGTCACAATGCCTTTTAACTGCGATTGTCATTGTCACAGAAGTTAATAAACGCTGCAGCCTTTGCCTTCCCGGGTCTGTGGGCTGCAGGCGTTCAGTCCTGAGCAAGTTCACGGAAGAAGTTGCTTTGGTTGCTTAGCTTGTTCTTTCGTGTGCATTTTTCACACAGAGGAGGAAGACTTCGTCTTAACTTCAAAGACAATCATTTGTGTGCCAAGTATAAGTAATAAGCGTTGAGGATTGAGGGTTGTGTTGGGTTTTGGGTTTTGTTTTTCTTTTAAAAAAATGATATTTTGGCCTCCTGAAAGATAGAGGAAATTTGAGAATAAAATTTCTTTTCTGGAAATGCTTAAGTTAAAAATACAAACGTCATGGGTGGGTTAAGGACTGCTTTGCCTTGAAATAAGAACACTAAGGTGATGCCCTCACGTAAAGAGTAATGGAGAGGTGTGAGGGTCAAGATTGCTTTCCAGAATCCGTTGTAGTTTTGGTCTTAAGAAGAAAAGTGTTTGGCATAGGCAGACAGGAGGTCTAATAGCAAATGAGCTTGTTTGTTTATCAAAGAGCCCCAGTGGCGCAGTGCTTAAAGTGTGAAGCCTCTCCTTAAATGTCAGAGTTTGAACTCAGTGAGGGGCTGGGAGGGGGAGACGTGGATGTCGTGGATGTCGCAGCCCTCTTCACAAAGATGACAGCCTTGGGAAGCCCATAGGGCAGTATTATCCGTGTGGCTAATCAGCAGAATTGACTGGAACTGGCAGTGGGGTTTGGTGTTGGGGTTCTGTGTTTATCTAACAATCATTATACCTAAAATAGATAGTCAAGTGCTCACTCATCACAGTTGCCTACCTTTATTTCAAATTCTATAAACAAACATAACTCCTCCCATTTCTGAAAAGGGAGGGGAGAGCATGCAATGATGTCACTCTTCTCCTTTTCTGCTCTAATAAAGCAGATGCGGAGCTGTTTGGATAAAGATCAGACTTGATGTCTTGGGTGCCTTTGAATCTGATTTAAGAACATTTTCTGAGCGATTCTGCAACTATGACCTTGTTTTCAGAATGCCTTACAAGCTCACTGTCTTCGGGTTTTGTGGTTACAGCAGCTATAAAAAGTAAGCACTCATAGCGCCTGCTTTGTTTCCGTTTCTGTTTTCTCAGATCTCCCTATCCAGAGAAAAGTGCTGGGGCTGAGCCTCGAAGGCCAGAGTCGTCTTTTGTGAAACAAGCAGTCACCGATGAATAGACAGATACAAAATGACCAAATCTTTTTCCTGCTATGCTAGAAAGACTTTTGTCCTCCAGTGGGTGATAAAACACTGCCCTGCGTTAAAAGTAGATTCTGCATAATGAGTCCTTGTCACTTAAACAGGCAAATGAAAACCTTCCTTAATGACAGACATTGATAAAAGAACTGAGCTTTTCATCTTTACTGGAGAGGAGATTACATAATATTTTTGGGCTCCCTGGGGGTAGCTGAATGGTAAGCGCCTCATCTAGCTGCCTTAGACGGGTGCAGAATCAGCCTGAGTGTATTTGGCTGGAGCATTCCCTTTGCCCACTTGGCTAGAGGGTCTTGGCAAGCTAGCTAGTTACACCCAACACCCCTGAAGAAGAATTTTAAAATATCTTTTTTTAAAAAACCTTATTCTCAGCCTGAGTGGTCCAGATCTCATCCCCCTCCACCAGTGTCCCTCACTTGTGTTTTCAGGGCCACCTGCTCTGGTATCATCTGGGATGCTGGCTTTAAAATGCACATTCACTACCTTATGCCTCAAGAATCCCAACCTCCCCAGTCATTGAGCTGGCTTATATAACATGCATTCCGGTACTTTTACTCCGTTCCTGTCTTTGCAGTGTCCTCTGCTGGCCGAGGACCTTTCAGGAGCAGTTCTGTTGGCCCACCTTTCTTTCTTGTAGTCTTTCCATTAAGGAGTTGATTGATCCCAATGGCCATTTCTATTGATTATATTATTTCAACAAGCTTACTGCTTTTCCCTGCACTGTTGTCATCTTAACCAGTTCTAGGGGCTGCAGAGTCTTAAGGTTACAGAAACAGCAAAGGCACACCTAGATTTCATGTTGAATAGGGACATTTTAAATTCCATACATGTTTCATGTTGTAAGCAGCATTACACACTCATTTGTGTTTGTGTGCATAACTTAACCTTGAAAGGACCACAAGTCCCCATTTTGTCATTATGTAACTACTTGAACTTGAGCTTAAATTTTTAGTTCCTCTCTGTAAGAGGAGAGGATAAGACCAGATGGTCTGTGAGGACTCGTCTGCAGAATTTTTAAAATTCTATGAAGTTGCCAGGATTATATAAAATTATGTTTGGCAGGAATGAAATTGTTGTCATTGTGAAAAATAATAACTACTTCCTTGGCCTAACCAAACTGTTCTTTGCCTCCTTTTTGTGTTTGCATCTGACATGTTCAATTCTTCCTCTATAATTACAGTGGGCCAAAGGAATGAGGAGTGGATAGCAGTATTATGTAATAAGCCAAATTTTGTTTGTACTTACCTCACTGTCGACTAGGAGCTGTCAACAACTCCTCTTGTTGTCACACCTGCTTAGGAAACCTCTTTCTCAAGATTAGACTCTGAGATGTTCACATTTGCCTCACAGATAGCCCATGGGGCATCTTGCTGATAAAGAGTGTAGCCACAGTCTCTGACTCCAGTGCAGATGTACTTAAAAGAGAGAGCGAAATAATGTGTATGGAGGAGAGGATGCGAAGAGTTAGAGTCTGAAAGGGAAAAAGGATGACTCACTCACTGAGTTCCCAGTTCTCACTATCAGTCACTGTTTGGACCTTTGTTTTTGACACCTTCTGACTCCCTCTTTGCACCAGGAAGGCTGAAAGGAGTGGTGGCTTAGCTGTTTGTTGGTGTTAGTGATAAACCAACCCCCCCCCCAGGAACATAAAATGCGTGACTGGACATTTACTGAAATGTATTGATTTTTAGGGGCAAATTGAGAGCTTGGTTCTCATTAAAGTGCATTTGATATTCTAGTTATGTAATTTATTGTTCAAGGCAGTAGACTCTTGAATGTGTGTCAGAGTAGAACTGTGTTCCATAGTCACTGACTTTTCCAGGGTACATCATCAGGCCTTTGTTCTCAGGCACCTTAAACTAAGAGCTCTGAAGTTAGCAGCCGAACAAGTTAACTGTAGACTCAGGGAGAATGATGAACACTGGCCAGTAAAAGTTTTACAGTCTTATTATTTTGACTCTCCATGAGTGTGGTTATCCTGAAGAGAAGTGTAAGTGCTGGCAGGAAAAATGACTGCTCCTCGCCCCTCAAGTTTCCCGGGCAGATTCCTTTGGAAGGGACACTGCTAAGGGACTACCACTAAGGTGGTAGGTTACATCTCCTTCCCAGGTTTCTGATGTTACCATGCCATTAAAAACAAAACATTTTATTTTGTTACTGAGAATATACACACCACCAGTTCAGCTGTTTTCTCAGGTACAGTTCGGTGTTATTTTTCTAGTTACACAGCCATTCTCATGCTCTTCTCCATTAACATAAATGTAATAACCCCTAAGTTTTGTGTCTAATCTTTCAAGTTGCTGTCATTACCTATATCCCCTGTCGATCTTAAAAGAGCATAACAGTGCTCACAGCAGACATGTGTTTTACTAGTTATTCTAAACTGTTGTTTGGTTTTAAGAAGGCATCAGGGAATACTTTTGGTTTAAAGTTTAAACAGTTACCTTGAGGTAACAATTCTGGGGATCCTCCAGTTTTCCAAAGCTCCAGAAAATGTGCAGTCCATGAAATTTGAAATTCTGTTCTACATCCCACCCCCCTTTTGCTCAGAATTCTTCTATAGACTCTGATTGGGGGGAGGGGGAAGGTACATTATCTTTGGCAAAATCTTAAGCCTATAAAAAAAATCGCTGAAATTCTGCTTTGCCTCATTCTTAACCACTTTGCCATCAAGGGCCTTACTGTTGACATAGGCCTCTTTAAATTTATTCTGAATTTGATTTATGAGTTTATGTGCAGTCTTTTAAGCACATTTATGGAACCAAATGAGACAAATTACCATTGTGTTGATTCTACCTTGTAAGAACCCTAGTACTACCCAGAGTAGAACAACCCCCATTGGATTTTCAGCGCTATACTTTAAAAGGAACAGTCTGCAAAACCTCTTCCCCCATAGACTACTGGTGGGTTCAAACCACCAGCTTTTCAGTGAGCAGTATAGTCTTACTCACCATGCCATCAGGACTCTCAGTTTTGGTACAAGCCTCTTTAAATTGATTCAGAACATTCGGTACAGCTTGCTTATTATGTGTTGGTTGAACCTGGATTTTCATGTAAGTTTGCATAAGAAAAATAGAACCAAAGCTTCAGTGGAGTTGATTCTAACTCACAGTGACCCTCTGTCAGGTTTCTGA